CGACCGCTGCTTAGCGGCTACTTGCTCATTAAGGAACCTACAAGTTTTCAACATAAGCATGTTCATGTAGATATCAAGTGGTTTAGTTACAACCACACAAACAGACAGAATGAGAGTCAAACCTTCATAAACTCATAAGATTAACAAGACATTTGAGCATTCTCAATAGCTATAAGCTAAACATTACGTAAAAATTAAATTTACCACTGACAACAAATTTATAAGTAAAAAGAAAAACATAAGGTTGTAGAAATGAACTTAATGAGCAAAGTCTGGCAATAGATGGGATTCAAAGAAAATTATAACTAACAAGCCAAACAATCAGTTAGCACTCCCAATATTTGTTTAATTGCCGGCACCCAGTATACTTCTAAGCAGAAGGTTAGATTTGCCACGAAAGACATTGATCAATCTAATGACTGCAATTATAACCTTGAAATTCCAGACTGAACTCGGTTCAATTAGAATTATATCCTAGACAGCCATCTACTCTATAAATCCTTCAAAAGGCTTTCAAAGACAATCTAACTAAAGGAAAATGGCAGTTTTACTAGATGGTAAGCACTTGGTAGGAACTACTTACACTGTATTAGACAACTTCCAATAACAGAGGTGATGGGATCATACAGTTATGTAAACTCTTTACAAATAATTTTCTTCAAGGTTAGCAGACTTACTCATCATAAGCATTTGCCCAGTTATCAGATGAGGTATCTCCCAAAATTCCTTCACCAACTTGATGTCCAAATTCTTCTACCCAGTCATCAACATGCAACTTTGAGAATTCATTGACCCATTGGTCATCAGCTTGCTCATGTCGCTCTCGTTCAGTAGCAAACTCATTGACCCATTGGTCAGGTCCACGGAAAACCTAAGAACCATCAAATCAAGTAGAATTTCATAATGAAGAAAATTGATTTTCATATATATACAAAAAAAAAAAAAAAGAGGTTTATAAGGTTTAAGAGTCTCAATAAATATATATATTATTAATTTATTATGCAGAATCATCACAGCTTGGTCTCCCGAATTACTGTACATAATCAAAAGACCCTAGTTGTTTGCATACAGTAGCAAACTCCTCAGCCCATTGGTAAGTTCCAATAAAACCAAAACACCACCAAAGAAAGTAGAAATTTCTGTAAAATAAGTAAATTTGATTGTTTCATATGAAATTAAGACATTTTTAGCTAGTTTAACAGCATATAAAAAATAATAGTATAAAGAATCATCAATCAGAGTCTGTTTTCTAACTTATAATTAACAGACTCTCACTGCTCAAATCAGTAGCAACCTCACTGACCCATTAGTTGGGTCCACAGAAAGCCTAAGAACCACCAAATGTGAGTAGTGGATTTTGTAAAATAACAAATATTGACTATCTCGTGTAAAATTTAGAGGTTCACTTGGTTTAAGAGTCTCAACTAAAAAATATTATAACAAAGAATCATAACTCATACTTTATTTACTAAATTATTATAGATAATTATCATCAGTAGCAGTTGTTACCCATGAGCTAGAAATATATTTAATATTATTAATGAAACAACAATACTTTGGAGATTCTCAAATCATCAAACCCATATTTCAACTACCTAAGATTGGTGATGTTAATCCCATTTTACTCTAAGCAGGACAAATAGATAGAAGAGCAAGAAAGTGTTAAAAGGATTTCATCAACAAATTATCAGGACAGATTAATCTAATACTCAATTTTTTGAGCTGCCAAAACATCTTGCCTCATTATGAACAAATTCATCAGCCCAAGTACCACCTCCATTGTACTGTTGCTGATATTCTGTTGCCCAGCTCCCTGATGCTGGTTTGACCTGATTATCATCAATAATGAGTTCACCACGACTCATCTTTGATAAAAATTGAAGAAACTTTGAATTCTGCATGCCCAGAAACGTATAGAACACAACATAAGTGCACATATTCACATACCAATGTAAAGATCATTGACTACTGAATCATGTGTGGCAATGATGATATTATTAAGAGCTATATTGCATGTATTTAGCTAGCTAATTATACATAACCTGAAATTTAGGATCATCATTTTGAGAGAGTGTATGTGCAAGCATACGAGTTTGCTCAATTGCAGCCAAATTTGCGACATCTCCCCCATTCAAGTGATCTATGGATGTCAACTGAGCTTGTTCCTGTATGCAATAGCTCATTAAACATATTATAAAAGTAAAGCAGGTAAAGACAAGGCACATGTAAAGACTAGTCAAAGCACAAGATAGAAGTGGAAAGAAAAGGAAAGCCAAAGTCAAATTGAAATTTATATCCATCTTCAATGCACAAAAAGATAGACATATAGTTAGGAAGATAGGAAACAGAATAGCTAAGATGATGAAGACCATCAAGTGTTTGGTAGTAATTGCCAAAAACATACCAATTTAGGAAGGGAACACAAGTTTCAATTTGATTTTTATAAGAACCCACACATCAACTTCACTTAGGAGCAACAAATTTTATGTAGCTAGAAAAATGGATCCATGCAGTTAAGCAAGTTACAAGTGGCAGACTGATCATCCACTCAATATAATTGATAACCATTGTCCATTTTATGCAAAGGAGATGGTGCTTTCCTACCTGCTCAAATTCAGAGGCCCAACTGCTAGCACCATGTTGTTGTTCAAATGAACGAACCCAAGCATTAGTATCACCATGTTGTGCTGTATATTGACTGAATTCAGTAACCCATCCATCTGCAGAGCGAGCACCAGGCTTCAGGATACCTTGGGATTCATTCCAGTAGTCCTCCAGCTCTCTAAATCTCCCAGGCACGGGTCCCCTGGCACGGACATCATTCTCTATTTCTAAAGAACTCAAGAGTGCATTTACCTGGAAATGGAGTTTTGGAAGGTTCAAAAGTGAGCAAAACATGAAAGAGAGCGTCAAATGAAAGTGTAATTTTATAACAGATTATACTGTGTAGCTCTCATCAAACAAAGCAAGACAACCAACCTGAGCATTGATAAAATCTTCACTCTTATCGGCAAAAAAGTGCCGGGCCATGATGCTGCTACGATCACGTATGCACTGCTTATCACCCTGAGACAATCCCAAAAGCGGCAGCGGAGTGGGATGTAAAGGAATTCCACTGCGACTACTGTCAACAAACGAGTGCAAAAAGCTTGACAGCACCCTTTGTGGTGGTCCTGAAGCAGTAAAAGAGTAAGGAAGAGTATACAGAAAGATCGATCTTCATGACGTTTTAAGAGTGGAGAAGTTCTTTGGTACCCGTAATTGATGTGTTAGCGGAAACAATCAGTGTATCCTAAGTATATGTTGAGTTTACCCAAATTGAAAACATTCTTTTTACAGAGTTTCATGACTAATCAATAAGAAAAAATAAAATAAAATAAACCAGTAACGATGATTAAAGGGTTGAATACCATCGAGAGTGGGTTGAATTGGAGCTGCTGCAGGATCGTAAAGGTGGTCCAAGTGAGGTTGACGCTGTATTTCCTCCCATGCATCCGCGAGTCCATTGTCATCGAAACTGCGGAGGCCCCTGATGAAGTCAGAGCCCTGAAGATTAAAAAAAATACAAATTCATGACAATTAGTTTCTAAATTAAATATATATAGTTATATTAAAATTATTAAAACGTGGAGACTATAGAGGAACCTGAGCGTTAGAGTGGAGAAAGGGACGGTCGAGCTCAGAGCCAGGAAGAGCAGCAACAGAATCATCGACCTGAGAGTAGAATTGGGTGTCGGAAGTGGGAGCTGCCGCGTTGGGAATCTCCCTGAGTCTCTCCTGCTTATACATACAAACACATATATTGAAATTAGAATTAAAAAACAGATGCTAAAGAAAGGAATAATAATAGAAAAGGAAGAGCAAAGAAAAAACGACCTGGGTCTTGGAAGAAGAGCCAATAAGAGCGTTGGCGAGAGCACCTAGAGGATTGGAGGAAGACGAAGAAGAGCCAGGAACCGCGCAGGCAGCTCCACCCGTTACCAGCTCACGCATCGACATCCTTTTTTTTTATTTTTTTGGGTCTGATTGCGCTATCTTTCACTACTATTTCCCTCTCAATTTTATTGATTTGAGTGAGAATTGATGAAGAATAAAGTTTTATTTTTGAAAATAAAGAAAGAACTAGAAGAGGTTATGGGGAGCGACGACCTCACCTCCGTCCGGATTTTGCTTTGTCAACACAACTGGCTCTCCTCTCCTATCCTCTCTCTTACTAATAAAATAATTATTATTTATTCTAGTAAATTTAATAGGGCCGGTGTGTGCGTGCTGGCGATGGATACAATAAACATGAAAATTATAGGAAAAAATATAAAATAATATTGATTAAAATTAATAAAATTAAAAAAATATATGTTTTGTGTTTGATAAGAGTTATAATAGGATAATTTTTATATTAATAAAAATAATAAAAAATTTTAAAATTTATTTATATAAACTTTTATATTGTACTAAATAAATTTTAAATTTTAAATTTTATTCAAATAAACTTTAATTTTAATTTTTATTTAAATACATTTTTAATATAAATTAATATTTCATTTAAAATAAAAACATATTTAAATATAAATTAAAAAATAAAAATATTTTAATACGAAAAAATATAAATAAAATTTTAAATAAAATGGTAAAATTTTAAAAAATTTTAATATTTTAATATTTTATATTTTACGTAAACATGAAAATACTCGAATTATCAATTCTGGATCCATTCGTGATTTCAATACGATAATTCATTCACGATTCCCATACCTTCTCTCTCTTCTTTCCTCTTCCCTTCTAATTTCCCTTTTTTCAAAACAATTGAAACGTCTTTATAAAGATTTCTAAATTTTAATTTTTCTAAATTTTCAGATCTTGATTTTTTTTTTAAATCATAATTTTGAATCTTCTATACTTTTAAAATTTTTATTTTTAGAACTTTGCAATTTTTTTGGAATTTTTTATTAAAAAATTCTTTATAATTTTTTAATTTTTTTTGTTCTTTGGAATTAAAAATATAAATATTTATCATTCGACATCACAATATATTTCACATGCAAAACAGCAAGAAAGTGCTCTTCATTTTATCAACACGACGACACCATAAATGCATTATACAAGATATGCACTTGATCACTTTTGGAAGTTGGAAGACCCTATAAATTAATTACCTTGAGACTTTAAAACACTGACAAACAGAAACAGCATCACCAATCTCTCCACCCCAACAGGCATACTAACAAATAATAACAACAAGTCTTACCAAAAAAAAATCAACAAAAGTGACAACATCTAATTCTCATATCTATTTCTCTCACAATCACTTCAACCCCCTTTCCAGCATAACTCCTAAGCATCTAAGTGCTATGCACAGAAAGACTGCCTCCCAGAAGAGTCATCAAGTTAGCCACACTCAGATGAAAGCAGTCCGCCCACCCCTTCGGCTATGCCTATCATACGCGGTGTTGAATTTGTCGACTAGCTCATTCATTGTGCTGCAAAGAGATATATATATATATATATATATAAAGGGGGGAGGAATCATTTTAGCAAAAGTACGCATATTATTTGAAAAAGCACCCAAAACTGAACAAAATAACACTCACTTCCTCTCACCAAAAGCATACAAAAGACATCAAATTCTGAACAAAACAGATAACCCTTACCTTGAGCAGTTAGTGAACATTGCAAGATAAGTAATTAATACTGTGTCATTGTATTCCTGTGAATAATTTTAAAAAAAATGTGTGTAAGCGATCAAAGGATAAAAATGCAGCTTAGTCATTCATTTCATCTCCTGAATAAAAACAGATAGGCCAATCATCAAAAAGAGGAATCACCAAATCCAAAAGAATACAAATGTTGGAAGTAGCACCAATTATACCTCTACCAATTCTTTTTGTGCAGATTATGTCAACTTTCGAAATGAAGAGATCTACAAATTACCCTTTGCTAACTAGCATGACAAATATCATTCTTTTTCCAGTGTGGCATCAAAAAAATTAACAAGTAACAACCACCTGTTCAAGTCTTTCTAACAAGCTGTCATCAATCACCAGTTTTAGTAGATCCCAGCACCATAGCATGACCAAAAATCCAACCAACTTTCTAGAGGTAGGTTGGTTTTTCCAAATCTTCACATACAGAATATGGTGGCCACAAGAACTGATACTTGGCATTAATGAATTAATGCGATGGCTGCGCATTTTAAAATACAACACTTTTGATGAAGACAAGGACAAATTGGCCACAAATACAAAATCATCCCCACAACAAGAGATAGAAAACAACTCTGCGTTCTTACTACAGTTAACTGCCTTTAGTGGTATTACTTTGTGCAATTGCACAGCTACCCACTTTTAGGCTACACAAAGTCACAAACAGTCCATTAATAGCTCAAACAGATTAAAAAAAAGGCTCACCATCAGAAAGTCATCTTGAAATTTTTCTGATTCAATGGCAGGCAACCTTCTAAGGAGGCTTGATACTTGCCTTAAAAGTGAATTTTCGCAAGGAATATCACCTGAAATGGAGAACGAATTCCATTACCACTAATTCAAGGCCTTCTGATCCACAATAGCCCAAACAAGAGTGAAACTTGTCACAGCCTATCCTCTAAAAGTAACGTATACAACATCCAATAGAAAACAAGAAATGACTGATCATAGGTCATAGAGACACTCAAAGATAGTGAAGTCTATAACTCCAACAAAAAAAATGCAGGCCAATTTGTCAAATCTAGTTTTCAAAATTTATTGACAAATATAACTTTTTTTGAAGTATTTTCATGTCTGGAGCTTTTATCTACACTCTAAACTACAAATATAGGCTTCTTTCCTTAAAGAAACGTCAAACAACATTCAAATGTTCACATGCATTACAAATAAATTTAATTTGTATTACATTCAGAAGGAATGGGCATATACCTTTTTGCATTCCAACAAGATAGTGATGAAGCACCCTGATTCTGCTATTCAACATCTTGATGGCACTATGTATACCAGTAAGATGAGCAGCCACTGCATGCAGGAAAACCACAAACAAAAACAAAAGAATTCACTGATAATCTCAAATACAGAAAATAAAAGGCTTCCCTCAAATAGGATTATCACTTTTCACAGAAAACCCTAGGAACAAGGAAGAAGTAAGCAGGCTTACATTGAGTTGCTGCTGAGCCTCCATCAGATGGCTTTAGATGGGCAACATGATCTACAGAGATCCTTTCTGCTTCAACCGTCTGTAAAACAAAAAAAATAAAATAAAATGCAATCTCAGCAATCCCAATTGCTAAAAATTAGAAGAAAACTGGTTAGATAAGAATTTACGAACCTCAATGGTGTAGCTTGACCGGACAAAAATAAGCTGTGGAATCCCATCTATGACGTGCAGCTCTTTTAATTGAGATGATCAACAACAAGAGGAATATAAAATGTTATTGCCAAAGAATAATTAGGAACTGTAAAGGTTATCAAAATTACCCTAAACTCCATAAAAGATTGTGCGCATCTGTGCATGTCCTTATCAGAATGACACTTAGTATAACACACAACAAGCACATTGACTTCCTTCAATAGGAGATAAATTTTATAGATATTGGCCATTCGTTTCTAATCACCACAATTGGTCAGTACTCACTTATAATCAAGAACATGAATTGATAATACCGAGATAAAAAGTTAACACAAATGAGCCAAATTAGCATATATAGAGTGCATAAAAATCTCATGCTGGCGAACAAAGTATGATTTGACAATAATGAAGGAACAACTTAGAAGGAAACCTGATCAACTAAACTCAACTAATTTTTAAACCTTATCATATCGTATAATGGCATGTAGGATATGCCCTTGCAAAACTTCAGAGGCAGAATAAGAGAGGATACATGTTGATTAACATAAGAGAATGCAATAAGGATAAAAAGCTACATACCACTTTCATAAATGGTGACTGGAAGATCCTTTTGGGCATGATTGATTGCAGGATTGAGAAGCACATAGAGAGGGCTTTCATTAATATCCATCAACTGTAACAAATGAACAAGAGGAAACTATTATTAAAATGCATTACATAAAGAAGAACAGGCAACCATGAATTACGGTATCATGGTTCCCTTGGTAGTTAAAAATTATACGTAGAAATGGAAAAGCATTTGAGCATGGTAAAACAATTATTAGTATACTGTGAAGGTATCCCTTCTTCATCATGATCATCATCATAGATCAATCAAACATCACTATGCATCCAATATTAATTACAGTAGAAATGAAAAGCAATGCTTGTATAGTAGAATTGCAACAAAAATCAAGAAATAGAAGCAGAAAAAGGGAGAATTTCTAGCAATGCTCATCAATGAAAATTTCACAATCAATTAAATCCGTTATGTACAGAATTAAAAAAAAAAAAAAAAAGTGAGCGACCCAAAAACGAAATTTAAAAAAGAAACGAAGAAAAAGAAGGAATGGTTGAGAAAACATACAGCTTTATGAATGTGCATATCGGATTCCTCGGCATCGCTCCCAGTGGAGTACCATCCAAGTATATAAAAGTGAGGGAAAACCTTCTTATCTAGGAAAAATAATTGAAAGACAAATTCTATTCCAGTTATAAATAAACCAATAGGCCAAAACAGAGAGAGAAAGAGAACGAAATAGAATCATACAGAGCTCCTGTTTCTTCTCGAGGAAGGAGCGGTCGAGGGAGTGACTGGAGGGATCATAGAGAAGCTCAAAGCTGTTGAAGATCTCGACGGTGCGACCCCTCTGGACCCCTATGACGCATCCGTAGACTCGAGGAAATTGCTGATGGAGCTCCACGCCGTTGCTATTGTTATTATTAACGGTACCAGAGGTAGAGGTGGATGTGGGTGGAGGGTTCATCTGGGACTTCACCCGGGTGTAGTGATCCGATATGTTGACGATTACCAGCGGATGCAGCTTGAAGGTTAGGCCGCTGCTGGACGATGACGTCATTCTTTGCTTCTGAATTTGGTTTTACCCGTCGAAGGTTTGGGGTTCTGCACTTGCGCTTCTACTTTCTCCTCTTGTAATTTTATTTTGTAGTTTCCTTTGTTTTTGTTTTTAGCGTCTTTTGCAGCTACTAACCCATTAGACCTACATTCGCAGGCCGCGTTTACACTTACAAGTTGGGCCACCCCATTACACATGAATGGGCCAAAAATGATTATTCCCTATTCAAATCATATTTTATATATATATATATATATATTATTACAATAGATATAAATATTTAAATTTCTCACATGAATATGAATATTTATTTGAATAAGTTTTTTGAAATACATATAAGAATTTTTTTATGAAAGAGTGGGATAACTTCATTTCATTGCACAATGAATAATTCTAAATTGTTCAAATATCAAAATTATTTAAATTAAAATTGCAAACTAAATAGATTTTTTTAATTAAAAATATAAAATATGAATTTATCCTCATAATAAATAATTTTTTTAATAAATTATTTAATTATGAAATTTTTTTGACATGTTAAAAAATTAAAAAGTATCCAAATCTTTGAACAACCCACAGAATGTTTTATTTTATTTTGAGTAAAACAAAAATTATCTCTCCAAAAAATTATATAAAGTATTAAAAATTTCAATAATTTTTTCATATTAAATCTCTAAATAATAGAACAATCAAAAAGATAATGTCTATATTAACACTAACTATTAAATTTATATTTCAAATATACGCAAAAAATTAATTTTATCTTTATCACTTATTTTTATATTTTTATAATTAAAAAATTTATCTTTTTGAAAATTATCTATCCAATCCTAATTGCCACCTAAGAGGTATTTTACAAATTTAAGACTAGAAAAATAATGTGTTGTATCATTTTTTTTATTTATAACTTTTTTTCAATATATATTCTATAAATATTGCAATTTATTTTTCAATTTGCAACTTTTTTTTTTTAAATATATTGTATTATTATTGCAATTTTGTTTTTTTGAGAAATAATAATATTTTTCAATTCATTTTTTTCCTGTATCTGTTAACATTTTGCATATTTTCTACAGCAATTGATAACTCTATAAAATAAAATTATTTCTAGTGTTTAATTTAGTGATTTTTACTTAGTTGTTAACATAATAAGGTTTTTTTTACTACTAGCAGGTCAATTTTTTGTTTTGTAAGAAATTTTGAAGGAAAAAATGAACATTGTTGAATCTTGAAGAATCTTGCTAAATCTTGATCAATTTTAGATAATTATTGATGCATAATATGAATTCTTAGGATGTTCTTAGAAGTTCTTGGTTTTTTTGGAAATTTTGGAGTTAAGGAATACGAAAAATATTCAAGATTTGTTTTGTGGAATTTTATGGAGTGGAATTATGCAAACTTAAAGAAAAATAGAGAAAATTCATGTAAGATTCCAGTTAGGTAATTTCGACAATGAATGAGGGCAAAATTATAATTTCAAATGAATACAAGTCTATGGCAACTTATGTAGTTGCACATGTATGGGATTACTAAGATTTAGTGCCGTGATGATATGGCAATTATATTTAGTTTTCCTACTTGGATTTGGATTTATTATTTATGCTAAGATTTAGTATTCCTATTCTTACTTGAAGTACGATTTCATGAAGTATATAAAGACTATTCATATAGGTGGCAAAAGTAGTGTTTTAGTTAAAGTAAAATTTTGATTTTTCTCCAAGATTCAAGACCAAGTTGTGATGCAATTCAAGAGTTCAAGATCAAGGCATTTGAAGTTGATTTTTAGAAAGTGAGTGGATCATAGCTAAACCTACATTCTTTATGTATAAGAATCGATTTTCGCATTCTTTCTTATGTTTTCTAAGTTGCTACATAATTGCTATGATTTAGAAAACAAGACTTGATCTATATATAAGAGCTCTTTTAAAGAGTTCTACTTGCATTCAACTTCAAGAAACTTTCTTAATTTAAAGAGTTTCATTCCAACCGAAACTACAAGATGTCTTGGGAGTTCCATTTTAGCCAAAGCTTATTAGGGTTTATTAAGTTTATAAATACATATTTTTAGGTCTTAGAAAATGGAGTAAAAAGGGTTGGGTTAACAGACCAACTTTATTAGAAATCTTGTTAGGGTTTTTAAGTATTCTTGCTTTTAAAAATATTCGATTTTAAGTTTCTTGGTTCTTTATTTATTATTTTTTTGTTTAAGTTTAGTTTATGCACATTCTTTTGATATTTTAATTCGATTGATTTCTTTTTCAAGCTTTCTTTCAATTCAGTTTTGCTTAGATTTTGTGACAATTAGGTCAAATAATGATCTTGCTATTCAGTTTTGCACTCTTTATTTATTCAAGTTGTGATTTAATTTGTTTTGGCTTAATGAATTACTATTCATGTTTTTGTTTTGATTTCAATTATAAAAAACCATTTATCTCTAGGGTCAACTTTTGTTGTTGTTGTTGTTGTTGTTGTTATTATTATCATTATCATTATTATTTTTTGTCTTTCTTTTTTCTTAATCTATTCTAATAAAAAAGGAAATTGAAGGGAAAGGGAATTATATCAATTACCTGGAATCAAGTAACAAATTGGCATAAAACCAGAAATCGAATTGAAGGGATTTAAAGCCTAAGACTATCAGTCAAATCAGACATATTCCAATTGCAGGATTTAAGCCTGGACTAAATCGGTTTAAGCCCTAAAATTTCTATCAAATTCAACTATAAATTGAGTGCGAAAATCATACAAAAAGAAAAAGAAAAAAACGAATCATTAAAAAAATGATATATACAAAGACACTTTAGAGAAAAGAAAAATGGAAAAAAAAGATTTACAGAAACTTTGAAGAGAAAAGAGAGAATTTTGTTTGGTAACCAAGAGATTTTAGGTTATAAGTTTGATTTATTTAGATATTTTAGAATTGGGATTTGGTGTTTTGGGGTTTGAATTTCTATAGAGTTTTGCATTCTAAGGATTTCTGAGTTTAGTTTTCTAGACTTGAACTTCAACATAACCTAGTTTTGGCCTGCTCCCTCTACTGCACTGAGCCAAGTTGCACCAAAATCTAAGTTCCAAGCTGCTCGAGTTGATTTGTGTCTATAACCACCTTCTTCAACTGCCAAGCCAAGCCATCTATAGGTAATTTTGCTTTTCTTTATATATTATTTTATTTACTTATTCATTCATTTATTTATTTGTCTATTGTTTTTAGTATTCTTAAAAAAAATTATATAACAAAATGAAAATTTAAATAAAAACTTTACCAACAGATTGAAAGGTAATCTTTTTTTTTTTTAAATAAGGTTTTACCAATCTATTGGAAAACCTTATAATTTTATTTATTTCAAAAAATATATAAAAAAAAAAACGTTACCAACAGGTTGGAGAACTTCATAAATTAATTTTTAAAAAATCTATTGATAATAAAATATTTTGTATTTTATCCTACCAAATTATTAGAGGATTTACATTTTAGATTAAATTTTATCAAACTATTAGAAGATTTAATATATTTTTTAAAAAATAATCTTATAATAAAATCTTTTCAAACTATTGAAAGATCTACATTAAAGTAAATTTTATCAAACTATTAAAAGATTTTACTAATTTTTTTTAACTAAAATTTAAATGAATCCGACAATAGAGCCTCTTCAAAGTGAGACACTAATCTCCATGAATACTCTTGAGATGAAAAAATTATCTTAAATTACTTCCAAACTATTGGAGTAATTTTAAAATTAATTTTCAATATTAAATATTTTGGTAAATCATAAATATGGTTAAAGCTTGAATAATTTGAAATCAAACTAGTACTATCTTTTGGATAGGCACTGTGAGGGTGCTATAACCTTCCTCACACATAATCATACTCTCGAATTTGAAATCTTGTTTCGTGGATTAAAATCTACTATTTAAAGATACCTAAGTCAATCTTGGGACTTTTCTTTAAATAGAATAAATTCGATTAGGTGACCAATCACATCTAAACAAAAAAGATAGGTGGCAACTCCTTTAATCGATGTCTAGTGGTAAGTCCATAGATCTATACGTTATGACAGTTTGATGACTTCACTGGAGAAATCGAGAGTCAGGCTAGTAAATGATTTCTTGTTATCCAAGCCTAACCTAATAAATTTGAGAGTTTTTTTCTTTTTTGTTTGTATTTATTTATTTATTCATTTTCATATATCTATCATTCATTTGCACATGCATAACATGAGCTCTACACTTGAGTTCTATCCCTTAGAAGAGAGTAAAGTACATGTGCCTTCATGAGATTTCATGTCTCTGCATCGGCTAGCGAAAAACTCTCATTTAAATTTAACCCTTTCCACTTGTAGCCTATAATAGGTAAAGATTAGGATGTCTTATTAGTCTATAATGGACAATGATGTAAAAAATAATTTGGGAATCCTTAGACAATCAAACTTTTGAACCTAGCATATAAGTAAACTTTAAGGGTCCAAACTTAAGTTAGAACCATGCATTTCCTTATGTTAGAAAATCTTCAATAGGATACATGATGGAACATTTATTTTTCTTGTAAATTTATATATTTTCTTTGCATACTAACCCTTTATGTTATTTTTTATATATATTATATTGTTCTTTGTATATATTATGTTTACTAACCCATTTTCTTTTATTATATATGCATGCATTTACATTACTAAATCCTTCTTGTTGTATTTATGTATCTCTATGTTCAATCTCATACATAATCTAATGGTCATATAAACATCACTTTAAATTTGTACCTCAATTATGAAAAATTAAGGTTCAAGGATAGCTCGACTAACTCACTTTAAGTACAATACCCAAGCTCAAGTTAGAAGAAAGGAACAAGACAATGCAACCTGCATTGAAAAGTTGGAGAGGGCCCAAGAGGAGCTTAAAGAAGAGTTGAGCAAAATTTTGGAAGAGCTAAACAAGCTAAACAAAAGGTAGACTGTAAAAGAATAGGCTTAACCTAAAGACCATTCATTACAGGATATTGTTAACCTTCTATATCTTTTTGGCTACAACCCATATCAAGCCCAATCCCTTCAAGGCATATCACCACAATAGTTCACATTTTTTACAGGTTACACTTACATAGAAATGCCATATGCCCTAA